TCATTTTTTTTCCAAAAATATCGATAAAAGAACTAATTATAAGAAACAAATGTTTCATGTTTTTCAAAATAGCAAATACTCATCATTTTATTTAAAACAGTTGTATATTTAAGATCCATATGGGTGGATGTATATACATTTCGCTATTATAGACTGTAGTGTAAAAAAACAATAATTTTTAACTAATTATTAATGAAATACGGAGATCAGGATAGTTGAAGCCTTTGATTTAGTAACCTCGCGTGGGTTTTTTTAGACCATGTCAATTTTAACTCAAAATGATTACTCGATAAATGGCTTTTTCTTTACTGAGATTCATCCAGCAAGTTTTTAAAAATTTGCTCTTTCCCTTTTTGAAATTGCCTTTTTAACCATCACATTTGATTTTTCAGGCCATGTCATTTTTAACTTAATAATGATAATTTTAACTCAAAAATATCAATATTAACTCAAATCGATGATTGGCTTTTTTACTAAGAATTATATAGCAAGTTTTTAAGAATTTGCTATTTCCCTTTCTAAAATTGCCCTTTTTAAGTATCAAGTTTGGAATCACATGTGATTTTTTAGATCTTGTCAATTTTAACTAAAAATGTCAATTTTAACTCAAAAAATTCCTTGATGAATATCTTTTTTTTACTAATTTTTCTCTAGCAGGTTTTTAAAATTTGCTTTTGCCCTTTTTAAAATTGGCACTTTTAACTATCACGTTAGAAATCAGATGTGATTTTTCATACCATGTCAATTTTAACTCAAAATGATTCCTACATGAATGGCTATTTATTTACTGAGTTTCATCTAGCAAGTTTTTAAGAATTTGCTCTTTCCCTTTTTGAAATTGCCCCTTTTTTAGCTATCATGTTAGAAATTTTTATTTTTATTCTTTTTCAACATGTCAATTTTAACTCAAAATTATTCCTCGATGACTGGCTGTTTTTTTTTACTAAATTTTTTCTAGGAAATTTGATTAATAGTCACTGGTCTAGATGTAAAATAGAATAGTATGAAAAATTTGATATTGAATCCAATAGAAAAATAGAAAAATGACCAAAAAAGCGCACGAAATAAAGATAAATTATAGATTGGATGAAGAAACCAAGGCCTGCCTAATATTGATTTGACCTTTCTTGTCCGAACATGTCAAGTATAATTTAAATCATTTGCAATTTGAGCTTCGACTATACAATAATTCTTTGAATTTTATTATTATGATTTTCAAATAATACTTACAACAACATGTAACCCTCTGTCACAAGTTCCACCAACTGCAATAGTTCTGATGGTATAAATGGTATGAATTACCAAAACTACAAGTCCAATTATACTAATTGCCACCAAAGCCGACTTCAAATGCATTGCTCTAAAGAAATATAATAAATGACTTGAAAATTAAAGACTATATATACTAAAACATATATTTGACTTCTTTTTTTATCTTAATAATTTTAATTTACCAGATTTTGGTAAATTAAATATATTGGCTTCTATTTTTTTATTAATAATTCTCCAGATTTTGTGCCAGATAATTATGATACCCTTTTTGGGACATTTCAAATTAAATTTTTTAGGAAAATAATTTGTGCACAAAAAACTTCTGACACCTTTTATTTGCTTTAACAATTTCCATGCCTTGAAAATAAATTATTTCCATTTAGTCTAATATGAACGAAAAGTTCCAGTTTTTAAGGAATAAATAATTAAATTGGCATAAAGATATTTCATTTATATTTTTAAAAGATAAATCAACATACTCTTCGTCCATTTCTTCAGAAGGAACCACGATTTCTCGAAAGTATCTAAAGTTATCTGAAGCATAGATGATACCTCGAAAGTAGAAAATTAGGCATATTAATAGAATCACCAGATTCACAAAGGATGCAACTATGGAAATTGTATGGATGGTGTCTGAAACATAAAAGATAATAATAAAAATTTAACTATTTTATGAAGATAATAACAATTTATTGATATTACAATAGAACAAAACCTAATTGGAGCTTAAAGCAAGACTTATTTCTTAAATTTTAAATAAAAGATAAAATAAACTATTAACAAATATTTATTGAATATAATTATTAAACAGTATATGATACCATTCAATATATATTTGATTTCACTAATTTTTAGACGGTAATTTTAAATTCATTCATTCTCTTTTTTAATATTATTATATTTGTTACTTTATATTTATATTCGTATTCTTATAAAAAATGCAATTTTATTTAATCTTCATACTTAGTTTATTTTTGACGTTTTAAAACTATATTATAAGGTTGTCAAATATCTCCCTTCCGCCTTTTTGTATTATAAACCAAGAGCAAAAAAGCGGAAGGAAGATATTTGACAACCTAATATATGTATTCAAATATAATGTCAGTAATAATAACATATAATTAGTATTAATTAATTTTCCTAATTAAATAATATATATTTAACTAGATTTTTCTTCTCTTTACAGGTGCAATTACACCTGGCAGGATAAATTACCTGTGCTGACATAAACTTCCAGGATACATCAAAAGGTAAGTTATTTTATCATATTTTACATTTAATAATTTAATTTTAAATTTAATAATTATTACATATGTGTATGTTTTTTAATGTTAAGTTAAATTCATTAGAAATTTAGATATACGTGTTAACATTCAAATTTTTTGAATTATTTTTTCGAAATTCATATATATTTATTATTGATTTTTTTTATATTTATATTCAACATATAAAGTAAAGTAAATATATATATTTACTCACAAGAACATGCGTACTGCATTTTCACAACGTTGAATCTTGTTAATTTATAACAATTCCAGATTGTTTAAATTTACTTTGACAAATCAAACACAAATCTTCATATGATTTGACACGTAGATCGCAATTGTAATTATCGACAAAAACAAATGAATAGAATAAATATCATCGGTAATATAATCATAATTTTTTTTGCAATTTCTTCACATAAAAATATTTCTTCATTAATCTGTAAAAATAAAGACTATAATAAACCGCACAAACCTGTGAGATGATTAAAAAAAATCATGTTTTATAAATTTAATATATTAAATTCAAGTAAATTACAAATTGGTGATATTTCGTAGTGTTCATAACATTATTGACAAATTTAATAATAATTATTATTTTATTTCTTATATAAATAAGTAGATCAAGTAGGTCTATTAATAAACTTTAGCATATTTAATAATAACATATGATTTCTTACACAATTTGTGTAAATTTTTTAAAATTTTCTTACACTTTCTTAATGATGAATTAATAATTGATCAACAGATTTTCATAAAGTATTATTAATGTTAAAGTAAAATAATTTTTATATTAATATTGACATGAAAGATTTAATATATTATTTGAAAATGTATAAATCTTCAATTTTGTATACACTTTTTGTAAAATCTTCTGTTGAATTTAAAGATTTTAAAAAATTTAACTATTAATTTATAAAAGAATAACACTTATTTAAAATAGTGTGATTAAAAGGTGCTAGTCTTTTATAAATTAATAGTTAAATTATTTAAAATGTTAAAATTGAACAGAACATTTTACAAAAATTGTAGACAAAATTGAATATTGCAATATTTGAATTTTTTTGTAATGCCTTTCTGTCTTTTTACTTTTAAATATATTTAATTATAAATTTAGTAAGAAAATACTTTGTGTACACTTTTTGTAATATCTTCTGTCTAAAAATTCAGAGTATAAAATTCATTCATATCATGAAAATAATTAAAAAATTTTTACATTTGATGAATCTTACATTTTTCCCATATTGTGTTTTAGCAATTTTTGTAATATTTTCTAGTAATTGCATATTTGCAAATATATTTATTTAAATTGCAAATATAATTATTTATTATTAATTTAGAGTAAAAAAATAAAATTCATCATTAAGAATTATTCAAAAATCATTTTTTTCGTTTTATAAAGCCTAACACATTTTACAACAAATTAATTTCTTCTAAAGAATATTGGACGGATTAATTTTTAATACAAAATTTATTTTTTAAACTTCTTAGTATAAATATTCTATATGAAATTTAGCTTATTGTAAAGACAATGCAGTACATAATAAATATTAGAACATTTATTAAAAATAGGTTAAAACAAAATTGTTTGCAAATTTTAATTCGTATTTAATTCACTTTTTTTTTATCTTCACAAAGTAATATTTTATTTGTTTTTAATTAAAGTACAAAGTGCCTGCTTTATAAATATTGCAAATAAATTTATAGTCATGGACGAGAAATGAGTAATAAACAATGTTTTTTTTAGTTTGGACTCAAGATTCATATTTTCTCCTTAATTTTTTATCAAAGTATAAGTACACTTTGATTTTAATATTATTTAATATTACTAAGCTTAATCTTAATAATAATTAATTAATATTTAATGACACAAATATCAAAATTACATAATTACTTATATAATACTAAATCAAAAATTTGATATATAAATTACTCTAGAAAAATATTTGCTTCAAAAAAGAAAAACAATTTGTATAAATTTTTCTTAAACAATCTTCTATAAAATTTGAAATATATTTACATTTAGTTTTTTTAAACAATTCTTAAATATTTTAGTTTTATATGAAAAATGAAAAAAATACATGAATTAAGTTGGTTGAAGCAAAAAATAACTTTTGATCTGAATTTTTATATACTATGTTTTATCTAAGTTAAATTATAATATTTACATCCTATAATATATTGAAAATTAAGGAGGCAAATTTTGGATAAAATAGATTTATTAGGGGTCTATATTCGTATGAGTTGGTAGTAACAAACTGTTACAAAAAACCTAACCTCCATAACAATTTTATCACAAGTGCATCTTTCTGATGTGTCAGTGATAACATATACATGAAGTTAGGTTTTATGTACGAAATGACCCTTTGAGCAACAAATAGATTTTTGGCAGCTTTTTGACTACCATCTCATGCGAATATAGACTCGTAACATTGCTTTTTTATCCAAAAATTAGCCCCTAAGTATTATTTTGTTCAATAATTTTAATATCTATGAATGTCTACCTAAAAGATGATTTTTTTTAGTCTTATCCTACATATAAATAAATCTACACGGTTAAATGATGTTAATCCAAAATAAAGCTGTAGCGATATATAAAGACTAATAATTAATAATATTATACTTTAGATCATATTTCACCGATTTCTTACTTTTTTTACCTAGAGTATTCGAAAAAGTCCCTTACTATGGTCCAAGATTTGTTTTCCTATTACTATTGGTTTTGTTTGAAACTGTACACAGTCTTTCTTGACTTCATATTGTTTTTTCAATTTTCATTTATTTTTTTGTTGACTACGATCTGCCCATCATGTTTTTGGTGAGTTGTTCCCAAGTTTCTTCAATTGGTGCCAAAACTATTATCACGACCAGCGCGGTTACCAGAAGAACAATCACTATGAGATATAAGGCCAACATGCAACGTCTAAATCCGGAGTACTGGAAAAAAAAATTTAAATAATAATTGAAAAGAAGATGGTATTTGATAGATGGATGAGATTGCAAATACGGTCGGTTCTGCCGTTACTTCAATTTTAATTGTTTGCCCACTCCATAGATGGCTGCCACTAACTGTAAAGCGTAAAATTACCACTTGGTTTAATTATGGATAAGATTTATACGAATATAATATAAGGTCATTTTAATACATCATGTAAGACACTAGAAATTCTTTATCTATGTGGAAATACTTGTAATATATACATTTTTTAACGTCGACCACTGGACCTCCACATGTAGTTCGGTTTTAAATATTTAAAGAAACTTTGATGAATAAGAAGGCAATATTTATTTGATAAGATAGACAAGGACAGAGAGAGATAGGCAGGTTAGTATATAGTATAAGGAGCAGGTACAGCTAATTATCTCATTATATATTACTAATTACAATATTATTAATTAGAAGAGTATAAAATAAAAGTAATATTTACGAAAAAATATAATAACGTTGAAGAAATCCTTTATCAATGTGGAAGTACTTGCTACATATACATTTTCTAACCGCGACCACTGGACCTCCACTTGTAGTTCTGATTTAAAATATTCAAAAAAACGTTGATAGGGAGAAAACAATATTACATTGATAAAATATATTATTTAATAGAATGAGAAGTCATTAGAAAGAGAAAGCAGCGTGTATTAAATAACAAGCAGTATTTATAAAAAAAATCAAATAAGGGTCGATTTTTTGTTGTCAAAATTGTTTAAAGTTTTTTAGTTTAAATCAATGTTTTGAAAAGAGTAATGGATTTTGGAACAGTGAGTACGAAAAATTCTAAAATTGAGTAATGTACATTTGTTCTTTCGATAGACGACGATGACATCTATGAATTGCAAACGGTAATGAAACAGTGTTAATGAAAAATATAATAAGATTTGATGTACAATCATACAAGAATTTAAAAAATCATCCATTTATAATGTGGTAAAGCTGGTGATATATTTAATAACTAAGGCCGACCACTGGACCTCCACATGTAGTTCTGCTTTATATATTTAAAGCAACGTTGATGAAAAATTTTAATATTTAATTGATAAGAGAAACTAAAAATTGAGAAAGTAATTTAGTAAGTTAGTAAAAAAAATAATATTTAATATTAAAAAGTGCATTCATAAGTAAAGTAAAATAAGAGTAGATCTGTTATAATATGAATAATATGATAATAATAATGATAAATATGATAATATGATCTGAATTATAATATTTGTAGCAATGCGAGCACTAGTGGTTATGTACAAAAAAAATCGTGACTTCATCATTGGAAGGGGGAATATTGTGGCGATAGAAACGGCGATGGAGTTTAACAAATGAGTCGTGACATTCTTAGATTTTCTTATACGATTTTTAAAGGTTAGATAAATAAACCCATCACACCACAATACCTAAGGAAAATTTGATTAAAAACGATAAAATATTTTTTAGGTTAAAAAGACAATATATTAATAGTATTTGAATTTGAATATTAAAACGTATTTATAAATAAGTAGAATAATATTTGATTTCCTAATTTTTTATTGCAAATAATTATGGAAAACTTAATTTTTACCACTCAAAATTTACAAGAAAAATAATTTTGTTAAAAAATTTACAATGTGGTCGTTTATTCCGATTTATGGTTAAACTGGCTGGTTAAACGTTTTTTGTCCTCTACTTTCAAATAGTATCGCAACTAAACTACTTTAAAATAATATAATAACTAAATAACAATGCTCGAACCCCCAAAAAGAACAAGAAAAAAAACACAATTTTGATAATAAATTTACAATGTGGTCGTTTATCCTGATTGGCTGGTTAAGCGCCTTTTGCCCTCTACTTTAAAATGGCACTGTAACTCAACTACTTTAAAATAGTATAGTAACTGAAGAACAGTGTTCAAACGCAAAAAAAAAACAAGAAAAAAACACAATTTTGATATTAAATTTACAATGTGGCAGTTTATCCTGATTTAAGGTAATGGCTCGTTAAGCATCTTTTGTCCTCTTCTTTCAAATATTATCGTTAAAAATACCAATAGAAAATCACATGTATGTATTATCAAATAGATGAGACCAAATAGATATTTGTGAAAATAAATAGTGTTCGATTTATTGATGACTATATTGCAAATATTTTTCTAGAAAGAGACAATATAAATTTGACGTAGAAAACAATGTTGTAATATCATTGAGATATTAAAAATTTATATATTCAAATTAAAAAATCCTTTTGGAACGTTACTGATGTATACGAATTCATATTTTTACTCAGTATATACCTAAAATCTGACCCCGATGCCAAAATTTGTTTTTCTAAAAAAATCCTGGTAATATTCAAATTTATTAAAAGGTGTGGTCATGTAGTCTTTATGTACAATAATGTAACAAACTATTAAACAAATTATCAGAAGTACGTATAATTAAAAACAGGATTGTAGACTGTCTAATCGTAAAAATCTGATTTTCTAAAACTATTCTAATGATGGTTCCAAAATTATGATAAAGTTCTTGCAACATTGGAGAACCAACAGTCACAATAACCTCTTGGAACCGGTAAAAATAAATACCTTAGTTATGAAATTTCACACAGACCCACGTATCCCATTATCTACTCCCATCAATCTATTTATCACTACCCACAATAAGCAACTTCTAAATCTACATCTACATCTAAATCTCCTCCATCTACTTACCGGAGCGTCCTGTTTCCTATCAGCCGAGCCCATCATCCTGCCGTTGCTGGACATGTCTTTCATCGGAAACGAGTTGACCCTCTTGGTCTGCTGCCGGTCGCTGATGCAGCCCGAAATCTGCAGCCACAAAAAGATCTGTGTTGTTGGGAGCACAGCGATAGGCGTTAAACGACATATGGCGTTAATTTAATGGACGCGAAAAGCCATAGTTAGGTTAATTTTTGTTAGGTTAATTTTGGTTAGGCACGATTGGTTGTTTTGGTTAGTCGTGTTACGTGCACAGGCGGATGGTGGTGATTGGGGATTAGTTGGTGAAGGTTAGTTGGTTAATGTGTCAGAGTTTTGGTTACAAAGATAGACGACATATGAAAGCTATGTAGGAACAGCTTCAAGTACAAATTTGGTGAACGTTCCTACTATTAAACTGTTGAAATGAAGAAAATATATTTGCGACTTCAGGTTTTCTCCAAAAAGTTTTGCTATTCTGTGTTGGATTTTTGTTCAACTTAAAAACAACTAGTTGGTATTGGTATTTTACCTTAAGGCAAGTTACATGAACTTCCCGAAATGTGTAATAATTGCCTTAATCAACCGAAATTGAGACTTAGATATTAAGATAAAATGTTCAACTTCACTATTACATGTATCATGTACGTAGCTCTTGATATTATTTAAGGGGAAAGCCTGCTTTAGAAGCTTAAAAAAATTTAAGGTAAATTTAATTTTTAACGTACCACAAAGATACATGTCAGATGAAAGCAATGGAGGAATAGCTTCAAAAACAAATTTGGTGAACGTTACTACTATAAGCTGTTAAGACGAAAAAATTTATTTGCGACTTCAAGTTTTCTCCAAAAAGTTCTGCTATTCTGTGTTAGATTTTTGTTTAACTCGAAAAGTAGTCGTGCATAGCATTGTGCCTCAAGGCAAATTGCTGGAACTAACCGTACCAAAAATTATATTTTTTTAATTTTGAAAAAATTAGATTTTTGAAAAATTTTAAACTTTAAAAAAATTGACTTTTTTGGAAAAAAAATGTTTTTTTATTTTGAAATTTTTTCCAAAGCTAACGGCTAGACGTGCCTTTGCCAAAAACTAATCAGCACGTCTCCTCAATAACACGAATCGAATGTTTTTTTAATTATTCAAATCGGCTGATCGGTGTTCCCGAAATCGTCGACGAAATACACACATATATATACATACATACATTTTTTCTAAAGTGTGCCAAAATGTTCAGAAATCTTTGAAACGTAAAGATATATAAAAATTATCATTTTCGATTTTCTTTAACTCACCCTACGGGAAGTTAACTAGTTAAAAGTGGCATTCTGCCCTAAGGAAAGTTGCATGAACTTTTCGAAATGTGTAATATTTGACTTCTTCAACTGAAAATCAAACTTTGATGATTTTTTAAAATTAAACGACTTGTCGTAGGACCGTAATATTTTAGTATGTTCTTTAGGAGCATTTTTATAAATCAACATAAAAAGTTTTATCGAAAAACAATTTTCAACAGTTAATTACAAGAAAACGGCTCGGCCGATCTTTGGCAATACTAATCAGCACCTATATATAATATCTTTTGAGCAGTTTTTGATTTTTTAAAATCGATTCAATGTTATTAGCTAAGACGTGGACGCAAAGTTTTACAGTTTTTCGCAAATTACTAAGAAACGACTTGGCAGATCGTCGCGCAAAACTGAGAAACGATAAGCCTCAACGAGATACATCAAATGGCTTTTAAATTTCTGAAATCGGTTTAGACGTTTTTGAGCAAACTTCGATGAAAAGTCTAATTTTGACAAATGCCAAAAAACGATACCAATTTTTACAAACTTTGACGAATTTTTATAATTAAACGAGTTGTCGTAGGGCCGTAATATCTTAGTATGATCTACAAGACTATGGTATCTACTGTCAAAAAAAAATCATAAAAATAGTAGAATTTTTTTAACACTTTTATTACAAGAAAACATCCCGGCCGATCTTTACCAAAAACAAATCAGCACGACTCCCAACCAATACCTTTCAAACAGTTTTTGAATTTTCAAAATCGATTCAGAATTGCGGGCTAAAACGTGGACGAAAAAAATTTCACTTTTCTGCTGTTTACAAAGAAAGGGCTTGGCTTATCGTCGCACAAAACTGAGAAACAACAGTCCTCATCAAGATACACCGAATGGCTTTTAAATTTTTGGTATTGATCCAGCCGTTTTTGAGAAAACGCCCACGAAAGGTCAAAAATCTGTTCACACACACACACATACACATACTTTTTCCAAATTTGGTCTTATTGGATTCAGCATGGCTTGAAACGTCGAAAAAACATAAAATTAGCGAATCGGATTTATTGACGAAAACATAAACTTCTCCTTCGGGAAACTAATAACGCGTATCTGATTCAAAATTATAAAACAATTTGTCTTCTTGAATAAATTCTGGTGTTTGATTATAAAAAAGCACAAATATGTAGCCAAAATTAACCAATAGAATTGTACAAATAATACCAAACTGATCTGATTCATGAGACACTATATTACTAATATAGTATATTAGTAATTATTACTAATGAAGATTGAAATGGAACGCCATTGGAGTTAAATTATATACTAACTAAAACATCCCGGATTACATCTAACAATTGTATTGATAACGAAGCAAAATCAATTTTTTGCTGAGAGACCAGAAAATGTGAGAGTTTTGTGTTCCATCACCTGTTTTCCAAATGAAATATAGTAACTTACAGATAATACAAGGTGCATGATGACATGGAAAGCCACGAACGCCACCAAAATCCAGTCCATCCATTCTGGTAGTTCAGCTTTGGTCAATTTTACAGCGAAGAATATTGTCACAACTGGAAAAAAAATTGTAGATTTGAACATTTTCATTGACAGACTTAAATGAATTTTTTTATTACATACTTGCTAGAATATGAGCAGAGTTTCCACCAAGCCAATGCAACCAGTTGAAAATTGGTCGACGTTTAGTACCAGGATGCGGCCTGAAAAAGGCACCAATCGGTTGCAAAAAGCACAAAATAGTCGTCACCGTTCCCAGAATTGCATGAGGATTTTGTTCAGAAGACCAAGCACCGATTTCTATGAAAATCATCACGAAGGCTGACAGAGTCAACAACCATGTAAGAACCATGAAGAACCTATGCCACTAAAAGGGAAATAGTAACAGTTAGGAAATAGATATGATATACCAATATTAGATGTTGCATGTATCAATTAGGGAATGCAATACCGATGGAAAATTTCAATACCGCTATTTCGGTAATTTTTCATTTTAAAACCGGAATACCGGTAAATTACCGGTATTTTTATTATCTTAAACAAACGTAAACAAAATTGAAAGTTACTAGTACAAATATAAAAAAATGTATATACAACTACAACTATATTCAACTAAGCAATAAAAACAATAAAATGAAAAAAATAAGTTTATTTTTTTTAAATAATAATTTAACAAAAGTATATCCAATTTAATTAATTCATTATCACTATCGAGTATATTGAGTACTTTTCACCAAAAACAAACTTATGAGTAAGAAAGACCAAAAACTCATAAAAGATCATATTACATTATTATAATAAACTGTGTTGTCTGTATCCGATGTGTTAAATTAGCATAATCTCCAATATTTAAAAAAAATAATTTTTCTACACTAATTTAAGACCGGATACTTTGTCGAGATAAATAATAAGTTACTATAATTGTTGAGTATTGTTATTTAAAATAATGTGATGCTTCTATAGTATTTTCAAACTTCGAAACGATTTCGAAAAATAATATTTTATAATTGTGATTAGAAGCAAAAATATTTAGTTATTATCATAATTATTATGTATAAAGTTAGAAAAAAATAAAGATAACGTAGAGGTAATCTGTATGATATAAAATATTTTGGCGCAAATATTACTTGAAAAAAACGTTACATTTTTACATAAGATGAAACAAACATCATTATCTATCAGTCCAATTCTATTTATTACTAGCTGACCCGGCTAACGTTGTTTTGCTAAGTAAGGTATATACTAAACAATTTTTAGAGAATCAAAAATATTAATACTTTAAGTGTATAAGGATGTGTTGTTTGAATGTTATATAAAATGAGGTATTATAAAAGTTTTATACACTTTCTATAGAAAACATGGTATAATCCAATCCAAGTCTTGTTTGGTCTTTCGACTTATTGATTACGGTTCAAGTTTTTCAGATTTTTTTTGGATTCTAAATTTTGTGTATACTACTAAATAATACTACTGAGCTTATACAAAATTTTCAAATTTCTGCGAGGAGAAATGGAAAATGAATTAAGTATTTCTTCTTTGACCTGCTTTTTGAAAAGTTTCAAACAGTTTTTAACATTCGATGAATTAAAATAAATTTAATAAAAAGTATATATTTAGAGCAGGGTCAGGCACAAAGGTTCAATTTGGCTTTGAGCAAATATAAACTCTATTGTGAAAACCATAACAATTATATCACAACAAATAACAAATTTCCAACGAAAAATTATCTGACTACTTTCAGTAAACTGCCTTCAAAATGTCTTTCAAAAATTTGTTATCTAGACCTTTTTACCCTATAGGCGGGGTGTAGTGCTAAAAAACTACTAACGGAAGAAAATACTTTTATTATGGATTTTTATAGATTACTGTTTATCTCCCGATAGCAAAGTTTTCAAATCAAGTCTATTGCTGGTTATATATATTTTTCCCTCTATTTTCAAATATTGTTGTTGAACAATGCTTAACTTTACTGATTTTGAGACATCGGTGGTGGACCTTTTGAACCTTGGTCCTTCATATATTACTATCTATTATTCGATAAATTCTAGGAAATTATAACTGGGAAAATGTTATTCGACAAAATGTCCCTTTGATCGATACCAAATTCAGGTTCTGAATTAAAATAACATAAATATAAAATAATGTAACCTAGAAAATGTTTTATAAATACCAAGGAGTATTTATTTACACAAATGAGATCTTTCAGAGCACCGTGTTTGAGAAAAATATTCCAAAAAGTGCATTTTCATATTAACATATCAAAAAAGTTTATATTTTGAGTCTCTAGTAACACTTGCGGCCTGTTTACTAACGTTTTTGTATATAAATAAAACTACAAACAAATCTACTTACTACAATTTAATCATAATTAAATATTATTCACGCTAAACATCCTATTAAACGTAATTGAACACCATCTGTCAAAACCGTTTGACATTTCACGTATTAGCCACCGTCCATTGTTTCATTTAAAATACGCTTCAACAAAAATTTTCAAATTAAAAATGTAAAGTTTCTACGCGGATTTGAAATAATTTCTCACCTTTTGGACTTTCTCTGGATTGGCACGAATTTTTCAAGACTAAGACTGGCCAAATCGGTTTAGCCGTTTTCGAGTTTTACTTGGACTTTGAAAGAGAGCTCCATTTTTGTATATAAGATGAAACAAACAGCATTACATTAAATAGTCCAATTCTATTTATCATAACACGATATGAAGCCCTTATTAAAGCAATAAATATTTAATTTAATGACGAGTTGAGATAATATTTGACATTTGTTTATCCTATAGAATCACTTGAAGATATAGCTGTTTATGCGATTATGGAATTTAACGATAAATTTGTTCCGAGAAATTTAAACTTTAGTGTATTATGTATCAAATAGCACTTGTAAAAAATACCGAAAATACCGGTAATATTTTTGGGGTAAATTCCGGTAAAAATACCGCCGAAAAATCGTGCGGTTTACCGGTAAACCGGTATTGCATTCCCTAGTATCAATTATCACTTACTGCAAACCATTGGTCTTTTCCGCAAAATGTTCTGCCAGTCCAGGTTTGTTTGAAGTATCTGGCTAATAAAATGCCTACAGAGGCTGTGCCTACCCAGGCTGTTAACATGAAGGCACCATGCAGGCGCAGAAGGAGTTTGCTGGCTGCTGCAAATCCTGATACGTCGCTCAAATGCTGCTTGTTGGCTGATGCTAGTTTTCCTAGGGTGTGGTAGTGGACTCGATCGACTGGAAAAAATGGAATATATAGTAATATGAAATTCAATTATCTCAAAATCAAAGCTAGTAGTGTATGGCATCGTGCCTTGAGGCAAATTGCTGGAACTTCCCGTACCGTAATGAAATATACTAGAAATATTAAATGCTTTGAAATATATTATTGTAAATACTGAAAATATTATTCGTATTTTCTAGACAATATATAAGAGCTTATGAACTGGATGACGATGTTTATATGTTTAGAGAGAAATAAATAAACGAAACTTGATTAATCGTATTCAAAATGAAAAACATTGTCTAATAATATAATAATATATATATAATATAATAATATAATAATATAATACTTATAAGAATTATATAAACTGAATTGCAAAGTTAAATTTATTTATTTGAAGTGTATTAGTGAGCTTTTGAACTTTAGCGAGAATTATAAATTATAAATATCTATATTTGGTCAAAGTACATATTTTACATGTGTAAACCACAAACACATTTTTATAAAACTTCGGAAATTACAAAACCGACAAAAAAAAAATTCATAAAAATTGTCGAAAAAAATGTTTTTTACGCTTAAATTACAAGAAAACGGCTCGGCCGATCTTTACCAAAAACTATTTAGGTCAAAATTACAATTACTATAAAATTTTAATATATTCATCATTTGTACGTAAGAGATAAATCGGATTATCTGATACCTTAATGCTTCTATGTACTAATAATCATTTTCGAAGAGGAATTTTCATAACACATTTGTTAAATATTGAATTAAAATTAAAATCCGAATTATTTTCGATAAAAAAAATGAAAAAAAAAATTCTTTACCCAAAAATGTTTCGGATGCATTCAAATATAAGCATTCAAATCGGATGCTTATTTCTCTCAAAAACTTTTTTTTTTAACATTTTGCTCCGTATCTCCGAAACGGCTAAATGTGCCTTTGCCAAAAACTAATCAGCACGTCTCTTTATCAATAGGAATCGAATGTTTTTTAAACCATTTAAATTGGTCAAATCGTGTTCCCGAAATCGTCGATAAAAATTTGTATCCGCACACACACATACATCAATTTTTTCTAAGGTATGCCAAAATGTTCAAAAACCTTCAAAACTTGAAGAACTGCAATAACTTCCCACGGGCAGTTAAGATATTTTTTAAGAATGCTATTTTAAAGTGGAGGGCAAAAATGTGTAACCAGCCAGCACCTTAAATCGGGGGCTGCTATCACGAGATGAACGAACGACTATATTGTCAATTTTTGAATGAAAGTATTTTTGTTGTTGTTAGTTTTTTTTATTTTGAGCACTGTTGTTTAGTTTGTGATACCGGAATATAATTTTGAAGTATACGTTATTTAATTATTTTATGATGTGTATTGTTAACTTCCCAAAGGAGAATTTAATATTTTCATAAGAAATCCGATATGCTAATTTCAAGTTTTCTCGACGTTTTAAGCCATTCTGAATCGAATGAGACCCAATTTTCAAAAAGTATGTGTGTGTATGCGAACAGATTTTGACTTAAAATCGACGTTTTCTCAAAAACGCCTGGAACGATTTCAAAAATTTAAAAGCCATTCGATGAGTATTTGCGCTTGGCAAATTTGCACGACGATCAGCCGAGTCGTTTCTTTTTAAACTGTGGAAAGGTGAAATATTTTTCATCCACGATTTAGCCGCAACTCTGCATCGATTTAAAAAATTTAAATACCACACAGAAGATATTGGTGAGAAATGATACTTATTAGTTTTAGGTAAAGATCGATCAAGCCGTGTTCTTGTAATTAAGCGTTGAAAAAAAAATTTTTGCCGAGTTTCATGAAACTTTTTTTGCGATAGATATTATGGTCTTATAGAACTTACTGAAATATTACGACCGAGTGACAGGCAGTTTAGTTTTAAACATTCATCAAAATTTGAGAAAATATGTGATGTGACGAGTCAATAAAGTCAATTAGAAATGGATTTGAAATTAGTAAAAAAATAAATGAAACTTGATTTTCGAAATAAACAGTTGAAAATTTTATCTAACAAATATCTAAATCTCAAATTCGGTTGATTAAGTCAATTATTACACATTCCGGGAAGTTCATGCAACTTGCCTCAAGGCAAAATGCCACTTTCAACTAGTTATTTCCTAACTCACTTTCAGCATCATCTCCAGCAGCAATCAAAACATGATAAGGATTCTTCCTTAAATCAAAGGTTCTGTCTCTAACAACGGACCTGGCTTCCCGGTTGAATTTGCAGTAAAGAGTTCCATCAATAAATGTACCATTTGACAGAGTGATGTAACTTTGATCCTGTAAAAATTAAATTAGGACTTATGCTACATACGAAACACAATTGACAACTTTTTTTTAATATTCAGTTTAAATACTGAGAAGAATTATTGAATAATTCAGACGAGTCAATAGAGGAAAACAATTCCGATTTTATTTCTTAATATTATTCATAATTAGAAACATTTCAGAAGGACAAATAATTTAAGTAATTATGTAGTAGAAATGGTTTAAATAATAAATTAGTGTTCGATCGGGATTCAGTTGAAATACTGACAAGTAAAATTGTTTAATTGAATATATGTTAACTTACAACTCCTTCTCTGGTGACACCCAAATTAGGCCTAGGCATAGTCCAGGACATAAAGGCCTTAACAGCACCATTCTGGTGCACACATTCCATCACGCTGTCGTCTCCCTGAAATAATAAAAAAATGTACAAATATTTTGTTATATGTGTCAGTTTACCAGGTCACCCAAATATATATTTAAAAGAATTAAGCAAGGAATATCCCACTCGAATATTGAAAAAAAATATGATCTTAAATAAAAAGTAAAAAAATAACAAAAAGAGAGATATCTCATCGGAGATAATCTCTTAAATGCATTTACACCCAGCATATTGTCTTAAAAATGTTTATTATTTTGATTGGCAATAAAACTATGCAAATAAAAAAATATGTGTTAGTGGAAGCTGGAAAGTCAGCTGTAAAAATTAAAAATAATGTTGGGCCAAGGACGCTCCCTTGAGGCACTCCAGAATTTATTTCTGTGATATTTGAATTAGTATCGGAGATGCTGATGAAAAATTGTTTATTTTGTAAACAGGATTTTAGTAATAGAAATACTATATAGTATTTGGCAAATATTAGGTTGTCAAATATCTCCCTTCCGCTTTTTTGCTCTTGGTTTATAATACAAAAAGGCGGAAGGGAGATATTTGACAACCTAATACATTAGGCCTGTAAGCCAGACTTTGTCTAATATACTCTTTTCTATATAGTGCATTATTAATTATGTTTATAATTCTATGCATTTACTCAATTGTTGAATGTTAGTTTAGAAAGCCAAAATGATGGTTCAAAATAAAATTTTATTCTTGTAGAATTATTTTAAACCGTTGATTTTGTATATATAAATTATGTAAACCGTTTTCATAATCTCTCACACCAGGCACCACTCTCTGTCTGAGATATGAAAATAATATATATATATAAATAAAATTAAAAAAAATAATAATAATAAAAAAAGGATTAGCTTTTCAAATATTTTCGATATGCAAGACGATAGAAGATAATAGGAGAGGGTCTTTTCCTGGTTTGACTATAAGAATTATTTTTAGATTCTGTTATATTGGATTTAAATTTGTTTTCCCAACTGACCATTTTCGAGTCATCAGACAATGCAACAGCAGCATAACCAGGATTTCCAGTAGCTTTCAATTCAAATTGGTATTTTTCTCCTCGAACTGTGCAGGCCATAACCAGTTTGCAGTCTTTGGTTGTTACGCAACCCTCCGGTTGTCCAAAGCAGGTTTTTTGGGAACCACAGCCGTTGTAGAATGGATCGTTTTTGAGGGCCGAGGACTGTAAGAAATATAAAAATATAAATTAGTTTGCTTATGAACTCATTTTTTTTTAAAAAAACCGAGATTGGATGTATGATAAAAATATGGGTCGTAATTTATTGTGTTCGGTTTTTTCCAAAATTGGATAAACTCATTCTAAATCGAATGAAACCAAATTTGGAAAAAGTATAAGTGTTCTCAATAAAGAACTTTTCTTTTAGTATTAAATTTTTTGAACGCGTTTTAGTCGTTTTGAGTATAAGTTACATAAAATTATAAAAACCTTTATTTATTATTATAATAAATTCTTCTTAAAATAAATAGTATATGCACTGGATTTCTAAAAATATTGTTTTCTTTGCAATATCAAATAATAACTACAGTGAATCGTATTTGAAGCATAACAATTTTTTTTGCAAATTTTGAAAAAATCAACTTTTATGAAATGTTCTTTTGTAAATTTTGAAAAATTTGATTTTTTCAAAAAATCCGTTTTTTTTAATATAGAGATCTTCGAAAAAATTCGACTTTTTAAAAGAGTTTGAAATTTTGTAATAATTTGGGTATTATTTAAATTGTTTTTTTTTTTTAATTTCATTTTTTAAGTGGACTTTAAACACGGAAACATATTGAAATTTAAATAAAATTCGTACTTATTATAAAAATTTCTATAAAATATCTGATAATTTGTTTATTTTTAAAATTTTACTTTATGCAAACTTTTATTTTTTAGTTTTATTTTATAGTTATTATTCTAATTATTTATTATTTCCAAAGGTCATATAATTTCTGCTATAAAATAACATAATTGCTGAAGATAGTGCATAATTGTAATAACTATCATAACATCGTACAATATTTAAAAAATTGAAAATCAATCAGTTTAATAATTATTCTATAAAAATAATATTTCTTTGAATTTAATATTATGTAATATTATTCTAGATGTTTGGTTTTGTTTAGATCTTAGATTTTTGATGATTTTCTGTGATCATAGAATTACATTCATTTTTAACTAAAATTTTAACTTAGAGTTAAGAGATGTTAAAAAAAATTCGTAGTTCTCGAAACATTTTTCTCTTACAAATTAACACAATCTGGCAATTAACTTCTCGAAGAAAAGTGATATGTTTTTGTTAGAAGTAGTTTTGCATGATATCAGTCGACCGAACTTTATCCTTAAATTAGCAAAAAAGTGCAAAAATTTTGAACGCTTTCGTAAAAATTCCAGAACCAATTTTGAGAATATGAAAAATGGTTGAAACTTCGAATGATATGATTTGAGAAATCCCGGATTTTTTTGCGTTTTTAATAAAATCCTAAAAATATTAGAGAAAAGTGGTTGAATTATAAAGACAATCAATAAATTTCATAATATAAGTCTGTTTGAAAGATTTTCAAAGCAGATTTGGAAATAGCCTTGAATAGTTTTTAGTAAATGCCAAAAGTAAAAAGCTTAATCTCAATTGTTGTCTAGTAATTAAGTCGATTATTTACACAAATCGGGAAGTTCTTGCAACTTGCCTTAAGGCAAAATGTCACTTGCACCTAACTATTTATTTATAACGAGATTTTATAGATCTTCCTCATCGTGAGAATATTTCAAATCACGTAACACATTAAACAAATCTGCACATTACATTGCAAATTCCATTCTAGGTGCAATCGAATAACAAAATCATTAATTTTGCATCTGTATGGAATTCTTGATATTCATTTGAAGGGATTCTCCGACGATCAAAATAATCTACTGGCAATTTTCTGCTGATTGCAATAAAAATTAAAATAAAAAACCTGAACGGTAAATATTGTATTTCTGGAATGTCTGTAGGAATCGAACATGGGAAGGCAAACTTATGTAATAGAAATATTATGCTGGTAATATTAGTTGGTAGTAACGAATTGTCAAGAAGACTAACTTCACGTATGTGTTATCAATGAGGCACCAATTAATTTAACTAAAAAAAAAATTAATTCCTTAAAACATCTACACATTTCAAATTTACTTCAAAGAGAATTGATATATAAATGAAAATCAATTTACACTATAACAAAAGACATAGGCTATGGTGTTACACAAGGTTTAATACGAAGCCCGTTTTTATACCAATGAATATTAACGTACGAAGTACATTTTTCTTACTAATAATTTAATAAACATTATTGTTTATGTTCAAATCTTGGGTGAATTAATTTATAAAATCAAGTTCATATGAGCACTCTTCAATCTAAGATCAACTTGCTAAATATTCCATATCCAAGGCCAAACAAATGAATTTTTAAACACATGAAACAAAAATCTAAATCATTTTTTTAGTAAGTGGAAATATTTTTTTGTATTGTTAAATAATTTAGTAAAGTAAACCAAAATGCGACATGCATAAGTTCAAAAATATAATGTAGATGCAATTTTGGACTTGTTGCGTTTTATTAAACTGAATTGTATAATTTCATCTGCCAAACATATGCAGTTGACTGTATCTTATATTATTTTAAATTCTGGCACATCTCAGCTGCTTTTCGGCAATAATAATGTAGACATTGCATTTTTCTTGTATATTATATTCCAATATTATCTAGGCTCATAATATCGGCTAAATTCAAATTTCAAGTGAAATGACATTTCTAGCAGATGACAGTTAAAATGTTTTCAATGGCTAATAATGATAAGTGTTTTTTTTGCAATTTTTACTATTCTATAATATTACTATAGTTTGTCGTTTATTAAATCTTAAAAATTTCCTTCGACACACTCTAAAAATAATTACCAAAACCCGAATAACCGTTTAGGAGAAGTATCAAATCATACACCCGTACAGAAGAATTTTATATATAAGATCCAATTATGAGTGGTTAGTAATGAATTGTCAAAGAGTTATTAATTTGCTGTTTTACAAATAAAACCTAACTTCACGTATGTGATATCAATGACACATCAGAAAAATGCACTTATGATAAAATTGTTATTTGACGTTTGTGCATTTTGGAGGTTAAATATTATGTTTTGAGAATTCTTTACTACCAAACTCATACGAAGCTAGACCCCTAACATAGCATTAACATTCATAACATTTATATTTTGTCCGAAAATTAGCCTCTGAAAGGTTTTTAATCCCTGAACATTCCTTCTATTATAATTTTCTCTGTTATTATAATATTTATTTTTCTACATTGATTTTTTACGGTCAAACTTGGTTAATACAAATAAAATCTGTTATACAAATTCTGATCGAATTGAAATTACAGTTAATACATAAATACAGCTATTGTTACTGTATAATGGTGCAATTACGATTTAAACGGTGTAATAATATATAATAATAGTAATGTAATTGTGTAACAGATTTTTGGAATTTTTAGTCTAGCAAAAAAATGAAAAATCGTTTTGTGGGTTAAAAGAGTATTTATATACAGACTGCCCTAACATTTTAAATGATAATATAAAAACTGTACATGCAATTTATGAATATTATATTGTCCACCATGGATATCTCAAAAAACGAGTAGAGTTTACGAATTTTTGACAATAATATTTGAAAGTAGAGGGCAAAAGTTGTATAACCAGCCATCACCTTCTTACGACGTTGCTATCGGGATATTACAGTTGTTACAGCTGAAAACAGATATTGCAGCTGCTCATAGTATAAGATTATATCGCCAGCGAAAAAGTAAAAAAAATACAAGCAGTCAATGAATGTATGTTAATTTTAATTACATGAAGTTCTTCAAAAACAATCATTACATGATGAGTGAAGTTGCGAAATCAGTACTTGTTTAGGCGTTGTTTACCATAATACACTATTATAGAATTTATTAATCAGCAATAACTTTATTTCTCTAATAAAGGTTCATTTCTAAATGATAATTACAATGACAAACCGATCATGTCATATTTGAAGTAAGACTTTAGTTTCATTATTGTTTTTAAATATTATACATATCTTTAATGATATTATAAATATATAATTTATAATTTATCATTATATAAATGTGTATAATGGTCGACACTAATAAATATGTGCATCACGAGTGTTACCATATTACTGATGAACATTATTCAAAATTGTTATATGATGTATTTATTTTTACTTAAGTGCCATCTTGTACAGTAGCAAATAATCGCGTGTGAACCTTACGCGCACTCTTTTTGGCTGTGAGCACTGTTGTTTAGTTCACAAGACCTTAACATAATGTTTAAGTATACGTTTTGTTTTAATTTAATAGTTTTGGTTTCTTTAGCTTTTTATTTATCTATATATATTTTTTGTCTACTTACCGATTCGCTTGGTCTAGAAAACCTAGGAGTGGTAGGTAAGGGCCTTCTGGTAGTAGAAATACCTCCATGTTGACCTCCTTGACCACGAGGAACGACGTCTACGACTTCACTTTCCAAACCTACCCAGAATTGGGCATATTCCTGGGCAACAGTGGCCCTGATAAAAAATTGGATATTAGGATTTGTCTAATATTTTTGCTATATGAAGGAATGATAATTGTACATTTTTGTAAATAAGAAATATCTACCTATCTATTTTTTACTTGTATTTTCCATGATTTTCAAAACACAAAAGTTGCATCATACTAAGTGTTATACTCCCATAGTAATTTTTTGCTAGATGTCAAATTATAAATACTTACTATAAATTATATAGATTTAATTACAAAAAAGGCCATTTAATTTAAAGGCCATTTAAACAATTTTTACTCGACCTAATGCATTTACTATCATATGAAAAGTAATGGTTTAAGATATTTTTTTAGGCTAGAATTCAGTTTACGCAAAACTTATAAATCTTAAATATTCAAATATAATGGAAATTAATCGAAATTTAATCTCGACTCAATTAAGCTCAATTTAAAAATACACTTGATATTTATAAATGAATTTATTTTAAGGAAATAATGCTGTAATTAAATTGAAGGAAAATATTTAAAAGTGGAAGTTCGAACTCAAATCAACTCAATTTAAAAATTTACGCTTGAAATAATTAAGTAAATTTTCAAGTAGGTAAAGTTGCTTAAATCGTACCCCCAAAAGATATAAATGCTGTATTTGAATTGAAAAAAAAAGTTTAAAAGTAGTTTTAAACTTAACTCAATTTAAAATCTCACACTAGATATAGTAAAGTGAATTTTCAAGAAGAAAAGATTGCCTAAGTCGCACCCCCGCAAGAAATGATGGAAATGGAAGTTTGAACTCAACTCAACTCAATTTAAAAAATCACTTGATATAATTGAGCAAAGAGTTTCAAGAGAGAATAGGTTGCTTAAGTCATACCCCCTAAGAAAATAATGCTGTAATTAAATTGAAAAATAATGTTTGGAAGTGGAATTTTGATCTCAACTCAACTCAATTTAAAAATTCACGCTTGGAATAATTGAGAAAATTTTCATGTAGGAAAAGGTTGCTTAAGTCGTACCTCCTAAGAAAATAATGCTGTAATTAAATTGTAAGAAAATATTTATAAGAATTAAAAGATAAATTATAAGATAAAGTTCAACTCAATTCAATTTAAAAACTCGCCCTCGATATAATATAAAGTTTCAAATAGCGAAAGGTTGCTTAAGTCGTACCACCTAAAGAAATAATTTTGGCATTAAATTGGAAGAATTTTATAAAAACTAAAGAAATTTTTAGGTTTTATTGAATCTTCATTTAGTTGGCTCATCGTAAATAATTTTTAATTATTTCTGTTTTACAAAATATGCCTTACACTTCCAATTGTAAACATTTGATTTCTCAACCAAGTTTCATAACTATTATAACAAAGATGATATAGTTGAAAATAATTAGCTTAGGGGTACGACTCAGGCCGTGGAACGACTTGAGCAAATTTACAAAAAAATTAACTCATATTATATATGTATTATATTACTAAGATTTGTCGCATTAAACATGTAGTTTGAAATGAATTTCACTTATTTATTTCTATAATACACGGATATAACTTATTAAAAAAGTTTATAAACATAGTCCACATAAATGTGATGAAGAACAGAGTGAAGTACAAATTATGTACTAACTTCTAACAATTAAATCTCTTCAAAAGTCCATACCGTTGTTAAATAGATTGGTATTATTACTTAAGAAATATAGTGCAATTCACCAAAAAAGTTCACTTCCATAAACGGTTGAACAATAAAAATTCATTGAAGTTTAAAAGTGATTCTTTTTAGAATCTATGGCCAAGCATATGTAACTTCGTGGAAATAAAATACATTTCTAGGAAACATAATTGGCAAATATCAATTAAAAATTGTTTTAACTATTTTTAAGTAAAAGCAAAAATTTTGTTTTGGAAATAAACAGTTGAAAATTTTACCTAAATATCTGAATCTCAATTCTTATTACTTTAGTTGATTATGTATACTACTTCTTACTATTAACTAGTTTTATAAGTGGTTCGGTGCATTACTATTTACCTGAAGATTACTCTTCCGAGGAAGTTGTCCGGTGCCGTCCACTCTAGCTGAAGATCTTGCTTCTTGACCGTCGAGGTATGCGTTGCCGTAGACCCAGGGGTTGCACAGTCGATCAGTTTATAAGTGTCGTCGCCGGCGGGGGTAAAAGTACCGACCACATCGTAAGGGGGCTGAAATAGAAATAGAACAAAATTATTGAAGTATAGTGTATGGTGGGACAGGCAAATATTTAACTCTATAATGTATAGTTCATACATGTTCATCATTATACAGTTGTCTTGGTCTAAATTTGTACCCCGTCGTAATAATGATATATTAGGTTGGCAACTAAGTAATTGCGGATTTTTTGTTAGATTTTATCAAAACTTTATTTTGCCATATATTGACTATTTTGACCAATAACTTTTGGTCATTTTTCAAGCAGCATCATCACCTCACTTTCATAAACTTCAAAAAATTGAATCAGTTACAATTTGACACCATCATAATCCCTGAATTGTTTACCATTATGATCGAAGTCATTGAAAAATCAGAAATAAAAAAGCTGAATATGACAAAAGTTTTCGATCTGATTTTTTACCTTTCAGCAAACGTCAAACAAAAATTACCCAATGGATGAAAAACTATACATTAAAAGTTTGTTTGTTAAATAGTTGTTTTATATTTGAACTAAGGCAAACATAAAAATTCAATTGAAACCATCTAAGCTGAAAACCGCACTTACTTAGTTGCCAACCAAATTCTTTAATTTAATTTTAATTTAATTTTTTGGTGAATTATATATGCCTAAGTAGTTGTTGTTCTTTTATGTCTTCTGTATATTTAGCTTCAAATTTTCATTAAGTAAATTTTTGCAAACATAAACTGAAATGACTAATTTGATACTTTCTTCAGTTTATCTCACATGAGATATTATTTTGTAATTTTTTGCTAAATGTATTCAGTTAGTCAATAATATAACTACTAGGTATATTTTTCATTTTTAATTTTTTACATTGATTCATTTATCCATTTTTTTACGAAAAATTCATTGAGTATCTGATTTTTTAATGATTTTATTGTGATGTTCTGAATGTTGCATGCAGCATGTAATCTTTGTTTATAAAGAGCAACTTTTCAATGGACATTATTGTTTTTCTATATATCATTTTTTTGTAATCTTGCAAACAATAATGGATATAGTAAATATAATGTTTTATAACATTTGAGTATATTTTCAAATTTTTTTTAGAACCAGAACAAGTTTTATGAACGTTTCATATAGAATATTGCTAAATTAAATCAAGAATTTGTAATAATTGCTATTAATGCTTATCTTGACCCTTAAATCGCAAAAAAATTGCTTCATGTAAAGCTTGAAACTTGTTGCAAGTTAAGCTTTTAACTGTTGAATTTTTATTTTTTTCGAAAATCTTGTAATTTATTTACGTTGTATTAATTAGTCTCCCGTCTATTAATTGTGTTTTTAACTACAAAATCTTCAATTTTTTTTTATTTGTAACTGCAAACTACCTGTTCTATGAGCTCAATTTTCTGACGTCATCCCAACCTAGTATTTTTCTCGAAAGGGCAACCCAAAGGTCGACCACTTGTATTTCTTAATGTTATACCACAATATCCACGTACATTTGATTACAAAAATCACAATCGAGTTGATGTTTATAAATTACACTATGCATAAGTTATTTTACAACAAGAAATCATTTTAGACGTTTTTCAGCCTTTCACATATGATTATTATGTATTCTACACACATTGTAAGATTACGTTTGCAAGATGGTAATAACCCATCATTCAAGATAATCCACAATATTGTAAAATCTACACAAGATGATAATATGAGAGCTTGAAATTCCACATTTCTCATAATAAATTATGCGATAAAAAATTTAGTGAACATCTGAACCAAGTAGTAAAGATTTTCCATCCGTAATATTGATTATTTCTAATTTTTTAATCAATTTCTGCATAATACTTGATTAAAAGCGCATACAACCCTAAATTTTCACCCACTTGCTACATTCCCTGATTTTGTAAAAAGTCAATATCGATAATCGTAAAGCTGAGTATAAATTCTGATGTCACAAAAAGTATGTTTTGGAATATATCTGTGTTTTTTAGCAAATTTTTAATTCATTCTATTGGCTGAAAAAATCCTTTGAAGGCCACAGAACTTCAACTCATTTTCTAAATATTTAAATTGACTATTTATGAAATTTTAATACAAAAAGTCATTCTATCTGTAATTTTTGTACATCAACTCTACATTTATAAATACAAGAAAAGTAGTTGTATAATGATAATCACATTACAAGCATTATAATGCAAAGTTTTCCTCATTGATTACATACAAACAGATGACTAGTCTCGAAGATGATGAACAGTACTGGATAATCATTGTTATAAATTACAAACTACATAATAACCAAGAAAAAAAAAATCCAATATCTATCTATCAATTTTACTTACCATTACTCTTCTGGCATGAATCATGAATCCCTTAAAAGGAACTCCCTGCGAGCTTCCCAAGACCAGTCTGAGAGGTTGTCCATTTTCGGTTCTTGTAGAATCCAAAAATATTTGGAAAGGTGCTTGAGAATTTTGTGCAGAAATTCCTCCACCATGGAAGGGCATCATTGAGTCGCAAACTGACTCAGGAGCACCCTGAGGCAAGGGTAGAGCCCTTTGGATGATGAAGAAAAGTAGAAGACAGGCTAGGAGGGGCTTCATGGTTGGGGATGGTAATCAACCTAAAAAAGATAAAAAAATGTAGCAAATTGTATGTAGTCATCATGGAAAAATGTATTTGTTTTAGTAGAATTACAATAAGTAGATTTATCTTCAAGAGTCATCAAACTCTGTTGACCATCAAAAGGCCAGAAATAATTTGCTAATTACGCAATCGACTTTGGCGGAAGTTACTGATAATCTATTAAACCAAATACAGTAATGAGAAACAAGGTTGATGAAAAAAAATTGGTATGCTAAAAGCATTGTACAAAGATTTCCATAAACAGATTCTGCAAGTTTTGTACGTGAGAATATTTATATTAATTATATGACATGGGCTACATTGCAAAATTGTAGTTGTTCTATAACATAATTATATAAATAAATTTGAATGTAAGTCTGTATGTCTGTGTGTTTGTCTATCTATCTGTGCAACCCTGAATTTTCACCCTCTTAACTCAAATCTGGATTTTGTAAAAATCACTCTAGTAAGTGAAATTATCATTAAGGAGTGAATTCATCCTTAACAAGAAGTGAAATCATTCTTAGCAAGAAGTAAATTTATTCTTAACAAGAGATAAATTTATGCGTAAAAAGAAATGAAATTGTCCTTGACAAGAAAAGAAGTCATTCCCATCCTTAACAAGAATTCATCCTTTTAATAAAATGTGAATTTAACCTCAACAAGAAGTTAATCCTCCTTAATAAGAAATAAATTTATGCGTAACAAAAAATTATTTTATCTTTAACAAAGAAATAAATTTATCCTTAACAAGAAATTAATTCATTCTTAACCAGAAACGAAATTGTTATTATAATTATTTTGAAACATTTATCACCTCTCTTTCAGTCAGCTTTTTAATGAATTATTTCCATATAATTTGTAATTAAAATAGACATGCAACCCTCAATTTTCACCTTCCTACCACTAATCCATATTTAATCATATTTTGTTCTAAAAATATTTGCAGATTGAATACAAATATGGTATTTATTAAATTCTGAATTTATTTAATCTTTTTGCTCAAGAATGACACTGCTGTACGAGCCAACAAAAGGTCTTTTTTTATAAACTTTTTCAAGATTTCTAAATCATTATCAGTCTAGATATTAAAAAAAATTACACTAAAATATTTGGAGAGCATCATAATAGATTGGAATATTCAATAATTTAACCTCACGTAAAAAATTTTGAAACAAAATTGACACACTGGGTGTCGTTTATGGACGACACTCTTACACACAGGTCGTCAAGCTTGTTGTAGTTAATCTTGGTTATGAGAGTTTCAATATGATTATAAATGATATTAGACAAACATTATTGTTATATAGATAAATCGATTTGTAAGACTTTTTACGACCTTGGACAACCTTGTATTTGTCACGTAGATTTTGATTAAAAAAATATTTTTGCAATTTTCAAAATTTTGTAAAAAACTTATATTTATCACATAATTTTGTAAAAATGTATTTTTCATGTTACGCTTTCCATTTAGTTACTAATTTGAGAAAAAAATAACAAAAGTAAAAATATATGTTTGATATTTTAAAAATTATTCAGGAGCTTTTGCCTGGACTTTTATATTTTTAATACTTTTATTTTTTAATTGTTTTTTTAAGTAAATTTTGAACTTCTCTATAAGCTCAAAAAAATCTTAATACAAATTCAATAAAAAAACATCCAAAATATGACGATAATTCATCAGTTATATTCAAATAATTAGATAATTAAAGAGACTGTTACAAAATGTGGATTTGTGATAAGAGGGTAAAAATTGAGGGTTGCATGTTTATTATCTTCCCTTAGGGTAAGTTTTAGTAATCGTCCAAAAATCGAAAATGAGAATTTCTACATTTTTTCACGTTTCAGAGGTTTCTGAACATTTTGGCATACCTTAGAAAAAATGGATGTGTGTATGTGTGAATATAATTTTTCGTCGTCGATTTTGGGAGTACTGCTCAACCGATTTCAATGATTCAAAAAACTTTCGATTCCTTTTTTGGCAAAAATAGTCGTACATTACCATGTATACTACATTATATATTAAAATAAACAAATATAATGATTGTTTTATAAAATTGTTTTAAAAATAACTTTTTCTGTACTTTGAGTATAACATACATCAGTCACCATACTAAAATTTCTTTACAATTATTATACGTGACAAAATTCATTTCAGACTTTGACACAAAACAATTTACAGTCTAACTGTAAATTCTATACAGTCATACGTGTATAATTTATTTAAAATTTTAATGTCCACATATTTTTGCGTACTCAGTTTGCAAAATTAAAGTACTATATACTATATATGTTTTACGATTGTAAAGAAAAATGTCTAAAGTTTTATGATTATAGATTTTGCTACATTCTTTTAAAATTGGTGAAGATTATATTTTTGTAAGGTTGTCTAATATTTTTTCAGGGTAATTTATTATCTTGTAGATGTAGATGGCCATTGCCAAAATTTATGATAAAAATGCTGTGCAAAAATTCAACCTACTTTTTTGCATCTTTGAAATTAGCTTTCCTTATAAGTATTAAATTTAAGCCATTGATTGATATTGGATTTTTTTAGTAATATTTTTAAGTAAAAATGCTAGTTGCATTATTTTGTGTTAGATCATTTTTTATTTATCAGATGTTTTTATAAAAAAAATACCAATAAATTTATTTCCTATACGAGATAACTGAAACAATACAATACTAAACTTAATTCTTAAATAATGACTGATTAACATAATTTTGCTATTATGTGGGTTTTGATAAGAAACGTTCGTGAAAACAAAGTTGTACTGGTCAAAAAGATAAAGAGCAGTTTTATCTGCTTTTTTGTGGAAACTCTACATTCATTGTGTGACGTTAAAGTTTATCGATAAATAAAAAACAATATTATGATTCATTAGAGGCAATGAAATATGTAAAACTGTCTGATTGTTCATCAAAATCCAATTGTAATTAATTTTTGCAGGAATGAACAAGGGTACAACGATTTACAGTAGATTTTGGACTTTTAGATATTAAAACAATTTCTTTTATTTAATTTTATATATATTTCACCAGCTACAAAGGAACTTAAAAAAAATTTAATTGGAGATTCTTGAAGAGTACTGGAGTTAGCAAAGATAATCTAGAAATGCTAATCGAGTCAATAATATATAATAAGGATATTTATTGAAACATTAACAAAAATAACGATTTTTCACAAATTGGACCATAACCATAGGTCAACATTCTTCGACAATGACTTGAAAAATCTTATCGACAACGTGATTCTTACGTGATTCCAATGTGATATTGTCGTCACAATTGCATAAAAAATTGATAAATTGTAAAAATCCAATTCGGGATCGATTTAGTCTTTCAAACACCATAACTTAGTCTTTTTTTTCAACAAAATTTGTGTGCAAAACTTTATCAGATACAAGAGAAAACGTTGGTTCTACTTGTGAGTAATTATAAACGTAGAATAAAAACTGACTGGTTTTTTGCAAAGATCGGCAGGATGGTTTTTTCCTAGTCACATGTTTGATAGTTTTTTTTCTGCATTTTTATGGAAGCTAAACATGGCAATAGTATTAATGATCTGAAGCTTAAATCATTAATTATATTGCTAGGTTTAGCTTCCTTAAAAATGCAAAAAAAAAATTAGAATTTAGATAAAATTTTCAACTGTTTATTTCTAAAATTTTGCTTTTATTAAAAACTAATCAATATGTTTTAAAATTGCTTTATTTTAAATATACTTAGAATATATGTAATAATAATAATTATATTCCAAAATTTAATGAATTATAAAAATTAAACCTCTTTTCGTAATAAGATATTATATTCTAAATGAACATCTCGAAATATTAGAGGCCTACGAAAAGAAGTTTAATTTTAGAAATTCATTAAAGTTTGGAGTATAAATATTACAATTATATATATTATAAGTCTATTGGAAATATAACAATTTTAAATCGTATTTATTAGTTTTTAGTAAAATCAAAAATTGTAGGAATAAACAGTTAAAAATTTTATCTAAATTCTCAAAAAAATATATTTTTAGAGATTGAATGGATTATTTGAAGAAGATTTGTAAGTACGCATCTTGCCTTAAAGTAAAATGCCATCTAATTTATTTTATTAAGTAAAATTCTAAATAAATTCTTAATACCTTCATTATTTTTAAATATTATATCTTCCCGAAATAGGTTTTTTTAATGTAATACTTTTACAAAATATTAAAATACGACATTTTTGCAAAAATATATTTTTATACATTAATGTATAATTTAAGTGCCTAATATACACTTTCACTGCAACTAATTATAGACTTATAGATTTTCAAAATTTTAATTGTTTATATTAATTATTATATGAATGATAAATAAAAACTATTACATATTTAGCAAATATATTAAGTGAAAAAAATTTGTATTTATACATGAAATTTTTTGAAAAATTTGTGATAAACTTTGCGTTAATTTATAACACTTCCAATTTGACAAAGACTAAACAAATCATTTTCAAATGCGTATATAAAAACCTAATCATATTACGTGATCAATGATAAATAAATTAATACCATCATATTAAAAGTCATTATTGCAATAATACCGTACAATAAAAAAATTATATAAATTATTAACTTGGGTTGACGATCGAATGCTAAAATTATGTTGGGAATTATTCAAATTTTCCACAATTTAATTTGGTATGATTAAATTTGATATATTTTATCCATTTATAATGGAAATATCACAAACCAATATATATATTCATGTCATTTTATCAAAATTTATTGCTTCGAAAATTTATGGCTCTAATATGGTGATAGATTTATGAATATATCTTCATATAATGACATAATAAAATCTTTTAAATTTTTTAACTTCCCGTAGGGCAAGTTATAGTAATCGCAAAAAAATCGAAAATGAAAATTTTTGCATTTCTCGACGTTTCAAAGGTTTCTGAATATTTTGGCATACCTTAGAAAAAATGGATGTATGTGTGT